GGATATTCACTAGGAAAAAAATAAGAGTTAATCTCAGCCTTTGATTTTCCTCATCCAACGATCCTAAAAGGGTATAAAACTCTTAGTTTTACACTATGTGAAGTGGATCCTAACTCATATATATATATGCATGAACACGATCTTTCTAGGAAGCATAATCATAGGATGACGACGACGAAATGATTGAAGCTATATCATCAATTCATAAACTGAAAAACATGCATGCTGTAACTTGAAGCTTTTGAAACTTTTACATGCATGAAACCAGATTACCTTGGAGTAGGGTTATCCTTATCATTTTCTTCCCATATTTTCTCCATTTGTACCCGTCATCCATTACCTCAACTCCAGATTCTGTTCTGAAAGCAATTTTAACCTTCTCTCCGTTGTCATCGCATAACCCTCGTTTCTACAAATTTAATACCACAATCACTAACAAATAACCAAGAATTATATAAACAAACCTATATATACAAAATAAAACATAAATATAGGAAGGAAAGGAAGTCGGTTTATGTTTGCAACATATAATCAACACGCGCGCCAGGATTGACCGGAAAAATAGTAGGGAAGGCGGAGGCAGTTTCCGGCTGGGGTAGAAGTAGGAAATCTTCAAACTCCATGGTGTGAGTGCAAATAGGGTTTGGGTTTGATGATGTTGTGAGGAAGGTGGCGGTGAGGATGGAGCTTGACATACCAGAATATTAGAGGGTGCTTATTAACTTGTTTTATCTTCGTTGCCACTGTACTACATGTCGTTATATTCTATACCAAAAGCAGTATTATTAAAGATAGATAAAATAAGAAGAGATTTCCTGTGGGGTTCTTATGGTTGGGTAGGAAGATGTCAAGAATTAATTGGGGAAAGATGTGTAAACCGAAAAAAAGGAGGAGCTGGTATTATTGATTTAGGAGCTAAAAACAAGGCCTTATTAGCAAAATGGGGGTGGAGGTTTGCAAATGAAAAAGATGCCTTGTGGAGGTCGGTGATAAGTTTTAAATATGGTTCGGACAAGCTACCTTGGATGGTGAGTACAGATAAAATCAAGGAAGTTTCAATTATTTGGAGAGGGATTATTAACAATCTAAGGAGTGAAGAATTATCTAAATGGATGAGCTTTGATTCCTTTAGATGGCAAGTGGGTGACGGGAAGACAGTGTGGTTTTGCGAGGATGTGTGGTTGGGTGAGAAATCTTTTATGAATAGGTTTCCTCGAATCTACAGGTTAGTCTCAAGAAAATTTCGGACAGTTTCGAGGTGTTAAGGGAAAGCGAGTGGAGTGATTCTTCAGTGTTATTTGTTAGACAACTCTTGGACAGAGAAAGAAGCGTTTTCAACGTAATTAAAGGAGAAATAGGTGAAGCTCAAATCAAACCGGACGTAGCTGATCGCATTATCTGGATTCACGAGAACGATGGGAAGTTCTCGGTTAAAAAATTGACTGAATTATTGCTGGGGGATGATAACATCATTGAAGTTGACTAGCCTAAATATGATAAAATATGGAGTCTCAAGGTTCCCCCGAAGGTGAAATGTTTCTTATGGATGCTAAAACAAAATAGAGTACCAACAAAAGTGTTTCTTAAAAGAAGAGAGATTAAGTTAAACGAGCATCAATGCTTATGTCCATGGTGTGGTGATGTTGAAGAAGATTCGTATCACTTGTTTGTTTCTTGCATATATATGGCGTTTTTCTGGATGTCTTTTTGCAGGTGGTGGCAAATTGAGGGGTGTAGCATGTCTACTGTAGACGAGATGTTTGAATTCGGGTTCCAGGTTTGCTGGTCTGTTCCAAGATTTTTAGCATGGCAAGTTAGCTTTGCGACAGCATTGTGGAGTATTTGGCTGGTCAGAAACGAATTCGTTTTCAGGGAGAAAATAGCAAAACTTAAAGATGTTGTTTGTATAGTCAAAATGCGAGCTTTGGTTTGGTGCAAGGCACTCAAGGAGTTTTATGATCTGGATGAGAAACGTTGGTGGGTGTGTCCGGGTTTTGTGTTGATTCTTGTGAAGAGAAGAGAAGACAAATTTAATTTGGCAGCCTCCAGGATTGGGAAAAATAAAGTTTAACGTGGATGGATCGGCTAATAAAGAGGTAGCGAGGTATGGTGGTGCTACGAAATTCTGAGGGTCATGTGGTGGCAATGTTTTTCGGGCCTGTTTCTCTGGTTAATGTTGATTTTACAGAACTGGTTGCAATTAAATTTGCATTGGAATTATTTTATGGATCTAAGTGGCTGAGGAAGGTAGTTTTGATCATTGAATCCGATTCTGCAGTAGTATTAAATTGGTTACAATCTTGTTCCGGTCGTCCTTGGAGGTGGGGAACAACCTTTGAAGAAATTGATGGGATGATATTAAAGATTAAGGATGTTAGTTTTGAGTTCACGTCAAGGTTAAGAAACAGCATGGCCGATCATCTTCGTTAAAATTGGATCGAGAAGAAAAGTTATGTTTAAAGCTTCTTGGTAAGATAGCAGGTTAAACTTTAATGTAGTGGGTGGACTGGTTTGGTTTTTGCTTGAATGTTTAGTAGGCAATGTTATTTAGATTCTTGTTAGTTTCTTGATTGTTGCAGTTCGGTTGTAATATCCCTTAACTGTGGAGCACTCTTTCCCCATATAGGTTTAGGGGTTTTTTTAATTAGGCACTTAGTTGGGATGAGAATGTCTTTGCTAAGAGTAATAAAGTTTCTGGATTTTGCCGAGCAAAAAAATATATATTGTAAAAGCACATATTTTTTTTGAAGGGGGTTTCATGTGAATTTCCTTGTGGAATCTAAGCAACGTCAAACTCACACCGGAAAAATAAGTGGAAAATTATCCCTTTGATTGACTTGGACGAATCCCAAGCATTATGCAATTTATAATACTAATTATTCTTTTATTTTTTATGCTTAATTCTTACAAATCAGTATTTCCGTAATTCCTCTATGTCATAATAAAAATAAAAATCGGAGGTTGTCCGAATGACAAGTGCAAAAACAACCATTTGTCACTCCCACGTAATAAAAATAATTAAAATATTTATAAAAACAGTATAATTTATGAAACTATACCTAATGATACAAAATTTATATGATGATATTAGTGAACGGGCGAATGTGGAGTGGATAGATGCGGGACATGTAAGATCTCAAACCTATCATTTATTCACTAGTCACAATGGGTATAAATTTTTACATCCACACTTTCCCACTTCCCACTAAATTTATATGCATCCCTATCTCAATTAAAATAAGCTCAGTGCGAAATCTACGGAATTGTACTCGTATACCATCCCTACAAACATTGATCACACCACTAACCTCCTTCACGCAATCGAACTCCGATGGTTGGCACCGCAATTTCCAATTTTAATTTTGGGTAAATTACATCGTTCTTCACTGTACTTTACTCTCTCTCTCTCCTATTTTGCTCGTTGTACTTTCAATTTTCTAATTTGCTCACTGAACTTTATAGATTGAATCATTTTGCTCAATCTGTCGTTAATTGTTTAACGGTGTTATGACATGGTACAAGAAACGCCATCGGCCACCACACCATTTTCATTCCAGACACCGTCCACCGTCGTTGATGATGGTCGTTCAATCCTAAATTTCATGGTTGGATTCATCTCGACCCTATGAGTCTGAATCTGGTGGTTATTTCACCAGAAAATATCCCAAACCCCTTGAATCTAGATTGAAACGTTTCGGCTTCCTCATTTTCAATCTCAAAATCGTAGACTTCGGAGCAAGTTCCAACAAAATGGAGGCCGGATTTGGACTTACGGTGTCGAGGTGAAGTGACCCATGAAATTTGAGACCGAACGACCACCATCTGCGGTGGTCGATGGTGGCTGGCAGTGGCATCCTTTGTCTTTTTGTTAACGGAGTTAGAGAGATATCAAGAGAGTGAGCAAAATGATTCAATATGCAAAGTTCAATGAGCAAATTAGAAAAATTGAAAGTACAGTGAGTAAAATAGGAGAGAGAGTAAAATACAATGAGGAACGGTGTAATTTACCCTTTAATTTTCCTGTTTTTTAGTTAGGGTAATTTACCTTTTAGACTCTAATGTTATCTTTAATATACAATTTAGCCTCTAACTTTCACTTTCCTATACAATTCAATCCCTTACTTTTACATTGATATCAAAATTAAAGTAAGAATCATGTTAAAAAAGAAAACTAAATTGTATATTAAAACCAAAGTCAAGGATCAAAGTTACAATAACCCAAAAAGTTATTAGTATTTAACAAAAAATAATTATTTTTTATTTGATGCTTGAATTATTCATACTACTCTAATTTTTAGATCATATGATATTAAATATTTAAATTTATATAATCTTATGTACTCTTCTTATATATAATGGCATAATAATATAAATTTAATTTAATAAAAATATATTTTTTAAAAACGAATAAACTACACTTAAGGTCACTTAATTATGAGTTTGATAACAAATATGTCATTTTTAAAACATACAAACAAGTTTTCAATTAAAATATTGTTACAAAAATATCATTTCGTTGTTAAATATTAAATAAAATAGTGACATGACACGATATAATAATAGTTTTAGTGCTTAAAACTTGTAAAATTTATTAATTTTTTCCTAATATAAAGTAATTCAATAAATTTAAATATTTATATTTAAAAATTAGAATTTTAATCTTTTTTTCTCCTAAATTGTTTGTGCTCTCTCATAAATTTTATATTACTTTTTTTTGGTATTATATAAGCTTAACAGTAATTTGTTGTTGTTTTATGGCATAATGAAAAAAGGTAAAAATATTATTATATCATTATATTTTAATGTTAACGCGATAATGACCTGTTTGTAATAATATATTAATTGAATGACCTATTTATAACTTTTTAAGAAAAGGGTGTCTTGTTTGTTACCAAACCCATAACTCAGTGACTTTGAGTGTAGTTTACGCTTATAAAAACAACGATTGCTCTTTTCTTTCATCATATAATATAATAAAAAACAGACAGAACATAAAAGAATGAAAAGAGGAATTTCTTTGCATCTACAGTACTTGTGGTTATAAAACACCCAAAAGGGCAAAACAATTTTCATAAGTGTAGAAGTTAAGGATTTTTTTAAAAGATAAATAAAACATAAATCAAATTCAAACCACTCAATCAAAATTGAAAATTTTCCCTTAGTTTTACCGCAATGTCAATGCGAAGACGAACCTTGCTCAAGGTCATTGTTCTCGGCGACAGCGGGTATGTTCGTTTTCAATTTTTAGGTTTTACTAATAATTGATATGTATTATTTGTATAATCAACGGGTTATTGTCAATGTCAGGGTGGGCAAGACGTCGTTGATGAATCAGTATCCTTTCAACAGTAATTGAATTTGAATCTTCTTTTTGTGCATTTTTTTTTAATTTTGGGGGTTAATTTTTAAATCTTAAATTTTGTATTCTGGGTTAAGTTGATTCATTGTTGTTAAGTTTCTTATCTGAATATTCTCGGCTCATTTATACGTTGTTATTGACTTTAAAAGGTACATTCGTGTTAGACTTAACTGCTTGAATTTAGATATGTTCATAAGAAGTTCAGTCAGCAATATAAAGCAACAATTGGTGCTGATTTTGTCACTAAGGAACTACAGATTGATGATCGCCTTGTCACTCTGCAGGTAAGATTTTTTTTCTTTTCTTTCTGGATATTTCTATGTTCTCTATAGCTTAATTTTAAAGTTGTCATGGAAGGCATGTTTATGCTTTTTTTTGGGTGATGGGTGGGGGTGGGGTGCATTCTATTGGATAGATATGGGATACTGCAGGACAGGAGCGATTCCAGAGTCTCGGAGTTGCCTTTTATAGGGGTGCAGATTGCTGTGTCCTAGTTTACGATGTTAATGTTATGAAATCATTCGACACCCTTGATAACTGGCATGATGAGTTTCTTAAGCAGGTTTTCTTTGCCCCTTTCTCTAGTCTTTCATTTTTCTTGATCATTTTAGTTGTTCAGTGAACTGTATTTTGCTTTTCCTATTGAATGATATGTTTCACTTTAAGTTGTTTTTATGCCTCTATAACTTCAACTTAGATGTAAAAATGTCAAAAATAATATGTAATGCATGTTGAACTCCTTTTATTTACCCCTGCCATGATAAACCTGCTTAGTTGAAATATATTCTTTTTGTCAAGGGATGTTGGCTAGCACTGCATTATATATTAAACTTTAGTCTACAATTAAAGGTTAAAACTTAGAGGTTAAAACTTAAAAGTTAAAACCTTGCCAACCTTGTCTAAGGTTAAAACTTAAAAGTTAAAACCTTGCCAACCTTGTCTAGCGCTACACGTTGACAACACTGATGTTCACAAGTTTTCTTTACTTAAGCTTGTGATAGGCATGGCTAGTGAATTCAGTAAGGGATTGCAGGCGCTTCAGGGAACTTTCCCAATTGACACTTTTTCAAGCCAAACTGTTATAAATGAAGATAATATTTTTATAAAATTATTTCTCTGAAAAGGCTAGTGGTTACTTATTTGAGGCACAATTGACATGAATCCCATAATATAAATCTTCTTGCAAGTTGGTGTTTTATTGAGTTACCTTGACCAAAGTTTTGTTTCCTTTATGTGTCAAACGGAAGAAGGAACGCATAGGATACTTCTGGTTAGGAGTGTCTTCTTTCAAGTTCTTAAGATCTTGACAGTGGAATGAACAATGGTTCCATAATTTCAAGTACATTATTCAACCTAGTTTTGCCACATTGTGGTTGGGCTCATGAATTTTTTAGATTGCTTCCTGTTATCTGTTGTTTTTGTTGTAAATATTGCAAGTAAATATTTGCTTTACCTAGTTATAGGGCTGACTTTAGATGGCTTGATTTTTGGATATAGATTGATTTAATTTGATTCTCTAGCTTCAGTAGATGTCTAGATAAATACACTTTGCATACTACTTTAAGATATATAGAGAAAGATCTGGTGTCATAACCGGTTTTGTCCTTATCCTTCTCAATTTGTATGCATTTTTCTTTATTTCATGATCTGTTTTAGGTTGAATCTAGGTTAGAAAGGTCATTAGTTTTGATTCTCTAATTAAGGCCCAGGTTATGACTTTATTTCAGTTAATTTATTTCATTTATAGAATATGTTTCCTAATTATGTGATAGGGCCGGTCCTTATTTAAAGGAACGTATGGAATGAGAAACCATAAGCAGAATCTTTATCAAAACCCTAAAGAAGTATTGATTTCCCTATAACTAGTCCTAAGATTTTTCTCTCTTTTGATGACCTGAGAGGTATCAGTCTCATTTTGATGAGCTGAATATCAATCTCACATACATGACCATAACATGGTCATTCATTTTTTTCACTTCGTGAACAGGAATAAAACATACGGTATTACAAATTTATTTAGAAATATGTTGGATAATTACATTTGGCCACTAGAGTAAGTGATATAGCCTCAAATGTCCATACTGATTTCCTGATTTTGGTCTACTTTTTTGGCCATCTGCTGTTCCTTTGGTCATCAATCCATTTTCCCAAACATTCCTTAGTTATCTAGTCAAAGCTGGTTTCTAGGAGCAATATGGCTTTAAGTAAACTGATCTAAAAGAGCATCTTAGTAGTTATGCATTATGTAACAGCACATTTAAGGAGTACTGACTATCATGGGAGTGTGGATTTTTTTTTCTTCCTGTGCCTAGTTGCATCACGGTAATGCTTGTCTAGTCTGGAAATGGTTACAAAACATATGTGACCTGCTGACCTTTCAATGTGCATGATATTTTCTAGCAACCAATTTAATTTCTTAGGTTGCATTCTTATTTTTATGGTTTCCATTTTACTAAACTGTATATTAATTTCTTTGAAAAAGTGATTTCCACTTTTTTGAATGTTGATATGGTTTCTGTTTTCATTTTCTTTGCCAGGCAAATCCAACTGATCCCAGGACGTTTCCCTTTGCGTTGCTTGGAAACAAGATAGATGTAGATGGCGGTAATAGTCGAGTGGTAAAGTTATATAGTATCTATACTTCCTAGTTTTCTTTTGTCCTCGCTCCTCAGCCTAAAAGGTGATGTTTTGAGTCATGTAGGTCTCCGAGAAGAAAGCAAAAGACTGGTGTGCTTCTAAAGGAAACATGCATTACTTTGAAACATCAGCAAAAGAAGATATCAATGTTGATGCTGCATTCCTTTGTATTGCCAAAAATGCTCTAGCAAATGAGCGAGAGCAGGACATGTAAGTTTATCTTGAATTATATTCCCTGGTTGGAGTGAATAGTGAATTTTGCCAATTACATCAGTATTGTTCTGACATTGTATTATTGACAAAGATGCATTGTTTCATCAAGCACTGCAGATTTCAATATCATTATTATCTTGTCTTGCATTTATACTGCACAGCTGTGTGATCATTAGCTTTTGAGACATAACTGTTAAGAAAGAGGAGGATGTTTCCAAGGAATACGACAGTAATACTTGAAGAAGAAAAATAGAAACATTACAACGTGACTTGTTAGAGTATAGTTCGAACTTCGTTAACGACATATTCCTTGGAAACATCATCCTCTTTCTCCAACATTAAAAAAATGTGGGGTCTATGATATTTCCAGAATTATGCATACCGAACAGTTCCCTCTTCCACTTTCTCCTTAAAAAATACTGGGTCTATGTGTATACCTATTTTCTGTGTAGATGGCTATAACATTCTAAGATTGACGACGAGGCAATGCATTTTATGATTCCCTTTTTAATTGACATCTCGTTTATGTATGGTTTGCAGATACTTCCAGGGCATACCAGAGGCTGTGACCGAGACCGAACAAAGTGGTGGTTGTGCATGTTGATTACAAATCAAAATCTTTTTTGTTCATGGTTGTCCGATGCGGTCTAATCATTATGTTATGGTTCCATGATTCTTATCCATTTTTTTTAATACATTGTATTTTCTAAGTGGCCTTGACTGGAGGGGGGCATTATTTGCCACTTGTTTTATTTTGGTAGGGAGGAACTTTAAGATGTGAAATTTGTAGAATTCCAGGAGAGTTTGCTTTTAGTGTTATCTTCAAGAATTGCAATGGATTCTCTTAAACAACGTTTGATTCCAATTATTGGATTCGAAGCCAGGTCCTCAAAGGAAGACAGTATATTACCGCTGCATCAAATCTAAGTATTTATTTTATAATTGATAAAAGTTATATTTAACTTGAATTCTGATTAATGTAAGCTTTTATAAGAATATATAGATTGTAATAGTTTGATAAAAAAAATATGATAATTTTGTAATAGTTTGATAAAATTTAATGATAATTTTATAACTTTTAAAGTTTATTGACCAAAATGATTATAATTAAAATTAAATAAATCACATAGTGGTCTTTGAGTTTTTTAATATTTACTTAATAAAAATAATTTAGTTAGTGGTGCATTTCGGTATATTGTATTAGTGATATGTTTTGATCTTTGATGATCACTGTAGACACATCCATAATATAAAACGTTAATGATTAAACCAATTAAAAAAATCTAAGTTAGTGATAAAAAATAAGACCGACCATATACTTTGATGACTAATAGAATAGTTTACGCTTTAAAACAGATGATAGAAAATAAAAACCAATTACCTTGGGAAATACTAATTAAGAGGCTTGCAAGGTACAGTAGCCCGAAAATGCTAAGGGTGAAGCCGGAAGACAACACTGTTATTTTTTACCTCATAAAACTCCTAAAAAGGAAAAGAAAGATAAAAAAGAAGGTTCAAAATCAAGAAGCTTGTAAGGTACGCTAGACGGCCGTTTTGTTCTTTAAGTAGCCTTTGCTTTGCTCTCTTCGTCTTCCGCCGGACAATGAAGAGTTTTAAAACTTCCAAAGTTAATGTAAATCAAAACCCAAAACATTGAAGATATGAAGACGAGGAGAGTGCATGATATTAAAGCTATGTTTATTTCGAAGTGGCTAGTGTCAAAGAAAGGGCCTTTAGGTGCCATATGGGTAGCTGCTTTTCTCTTCAAAAAGCTCAAGAAATCTCAAATCATTGAGACTAATATCTCCTCTTCTGTCGGTTAGTTCCCCTCCCTTTCAAATGCCCGTCACTCGTTCTTTTTCTTTTTAGTTTCCAGCAATCTCTTGGCCGAATGGCCAGATATTTGTGTTGTATGGCATGTAAGCTTGAGCTCTCTCTATGGTATCCTTACCTCTACCCCAATTAAAAAACAAGAGTTCATCCTGTTACTATTGAGTTGAAGAGGCTAATATTAGTAATTGCAATAAACCTGGATAAGTGAAAAGTTGGATTTATTGGTTTTCAGGTCAATTTTTCCTCTTTTTAGGCTGTAAGGGGAAAACTTTTACTTATGGAAGGTTGTTAGTATGGAATGTGTGTGACCTATACATGCAACTTGGATATTTTAATGGTTTTACAGGTTGTCAGATTATAAATGATGGTTTTCCTGCTTAGATTTCAATTTTGATGCTGGTATTCAGTCAAAAGTCCTGATTTGCTGAAGTTGACTCTTCCATTCTGTGCAGATTGCGGCATTGGATGATGCTTTCTTGAAGGATTACACTCTAGCTGAAGAGTATGCACAAAAATTTCATTTGCCAGGTTCTCAGTTCTATACGTTAAGATATGTTGTCTTTTTGAAAGAAGCTAAACGGCTCAAAGTTTTGGAAATGTTCTTCTAATCATATTCTTTTCGCAGCAGTCTTTCACGCCACCAGATGGACTTTGAGACAGAAGTAAGAACATTGCATGGTGTGCGCGACTCGGAAGCAAGTGTAGAAAAGCTTCGATGTGATAACTTCTTTCTTGAGGAGGTTTCACATTTTAAAACAGTTGGTGGGGTAGAGGAAGAACCTCAGAGCCTTGCCAATGAAAATGAAAGAGAGCGTGTAGAGGTTCCTGACATGGCAGGTTTGGTGAACCGTACAGACCAAGAGGCAAATAGAGAGAAATACAATGATAGATTATTGTCAGAAGAACACGTAAACCTTCATACTGAGGCTGAGGAAGATTCTCCACTTCCCCTTAAACTTAAACCACTTGCTGAAGATCAAACTAGCAGGGAGATGATGAAGGGTCCAGACCATTTAGAATCAGAAAAAGAAAAAGAACGCGTAAACCTTCATACTGAGGCTGAGGAAGATTCTCCACTTCCCCTTAAACTTAAACCACTTGCTGAAGATCAAACTAGCAGGGAGATGATGAAGGGTCCAGACCATTTAGAATCAGAAAAAGAAAAAGAACGCTTAAACCTTCATACTGAGGCTGAGGAAGATTCTCCACTTCCCCTTAAACTTAAACCGCTTGCTGAAGATCAAACTAGCAGGGAGATGATGAAGGGTCCAGACCATTTAGAATCAGAAAATGAAATGAACCAGGCTATGGAGGAAGATAATGAAAGCGTCTTGGAAGCAAGTGCAGAGTTTCCCGACATTTCTGGCTCAGCAAGTATGGAGAAATGCAGTAATAGGTTCTCTTCAGAAGGAGCAAACCTGTGTACTGAGGCTGATGAGGAACCTCTAAGACCTGTTGAATCACTTGTTGAAGATCAACGTAATAGAGAGACGATGAAGGAGTTGAATTTGCTAAAATCTGAAAATGAAGTGCACCCTGTTTTGCATGAAGATCGTGTAAGCATGAAAGTAACTGTAGAGGTTCCAAGCCTTGTAGACTCTGAAAATCATATAGGAAGAGAACCGAGCAGAGAGAATAATAACGATGAACTCTGTCAAGAAGAATGTCTGAATCTTGTCGTTCAGGTTGAGGAGAAATCTCCAGGTCTCATCAAACCTTTTGGTGAAGAAGAAACTAACAGAGACATGAAGAGTTCGTATAGGGTGCAACCAGAAAATGAAGTACACCATGTTATGGTGGAAGATCACAAGTTGGGAAAAGTACGAAGAAGCTCCAGCCTCCAGGTTGAAGGATTCTTTCACTTGGACATTCAGGAACCTTCCCCACTTGTTAGACCACTTGCTGAAGAGATTCATACTGATGCAGAGCATGGGAAGCTTCCAGCCACGAGAACTTCTAAGTATGGAAATGTCAGGCTGCTGCTAAAATGGTATAAGGAAATATTAAAATGGTATCTTTTTTTGCCCCTCAAGGATATAATCTTTCTTGTGCTTGATTAGTTGGACAGTTAACAAGATTCTTGCTTTTTGGTGATCTGACAAATACAATCTTATTCTTTGTTTTCTTACTCTTCATTTTACATGATCTACCCATGTCCAACATATATCCAATGAACAAAGTATGGAAGTCTAACCTCCATATGTAAGGAAATATCGTTTTGAAACTCGCTTTTAGGCCGAAAATTATGTTTATCATTTAAAGCTTTTGTTTAATACACAATTTCTCCTTTAATGCAGGAACCACTACACCACATTTTATGCTTATCCCATCACCTTCTAGAAAGGAACATTCTCGGTTTTCTAGGAAGAGAAAATGTTTATTCGATGATGTCATAGTGTTCTGTAATGAGTAAGCTATGATTACCTCAGAATCTCCCTTTTTATGTTTCCAGTTCAAGTAGTTTTATGTTATGAATCTAATTGACTGCAGGCTACATTGTTGTGTAACTTTATACTTAGTGCTGAGCATCATCATTGCATGTCTGTAGCAATGGATTGGAATTTATGATATAATTTGGAAATAATGTGTTGCGATGAACTCTGCTGAATATTAAATTGGGAAATGTTTGGTTTCATCTTTAAGCCCTAGATATTGTAATATGGTGTTTCGTCTTATGAGATGTGCATCTTGCTGCTGCAATATGAGCTAAACAAAAATTAATTTTATGTTAAATCTTAACGTACTTTTCCCTTGGTCCTGGTCTGGACTACTGTAGTTGATTCTGCTATTGTTTAGAATGTGTGTGTGTGTGTGTGTGTATATATGGATTGCAACATGCTCAATTCATGCTGTTTTTTTGCAATTGATTTAATACCTGTGGCACCTCTCTATTGAAAACTCTAATTAGGACATTTGTTATTGGTCAAAAAAATTAGAGGATAGAAATAAATTAAGAGGACAGCTGATAACTGTATAATTCATTTGATTTCACGTTCAATTTTTGCAGCATAATGAGGCAATGGATAAAAGATGCAAGTGATTTGGTCTCTAAGCGGGTAAAGGATGGCCGTACTGCTTTGGGTGCAATGAAGACTCGTTGGATTCCCAACCTTCCCCAGAGTTTCTCAGAGCCTTCACTTCCCTGTAATTGCACTATTAGAAATATTTCTACATGGTATTTCTCTAGTTGTGCTTCTTTGTTAATCATATTCTTGACAGGCATCTTGGAGCTTAAATCTGTTTACTGTGGAAAGAGATTGAGACATCTAGAATCTATTAATATCACAAAACATATGGACTCTCCCGAACCTCCTGCGGTCAGTGGATTCATTGAGCAAGCAGAAATTACTCCAGTGACTGTTGAAATGAGGATCCTCCTGATATATTGTACCTCTCAAAATCTCCTTCGTTTGATGGATCCACGGAGCAGGGCAGAATTGCTCCACAAACACCCATTCAGCAGCCAACTTCCCTAATTGTCGAAGAACAGACAGAAATGGCTCCACAAACACCTGTTCTGCACTATAAATCAATGAGGCCTTTTGTGAGCCCGAAGGACCTGAAATGTAGTAACTTATCTGAGTAAGACCAGAGAAAGTGGATCCTATTCAAACTGTAATACCCAGAAAATTTGATTAGTGATTGAAGTGTAAATTTTGAAAGTTTGGGGACTAAAGCATAAAGTTGTAAAAGTATAGGGACTAAAAATATAAATTTTCAAAAGATATATTTTGGATTTCTAAATTAGTATTTCAGGCTGGGTTTTAGATTTTTGATCCCCAAATTTGTATAAAAGTCTATTAAATGATAAAATTCGGTATATTATATAGATAACTGGCTCGAATCGGAAGTTTATAAAAATTTGCGGAAAGGTAGATTTGGGTTGAAAAATTATATAGATATTTTTAAATAGAGAAATTTAAGATGTATCGGTGGAATTTGGTGAGATTTGCATTATAAAGTGAGATAGTACAATTTAGTAATTAAAAT